CAAGCTGACGTCGTCTCACTTCTCGCAGAAAGCTCTCATATTGCTACAAACGCAGCCAACACGACCGGTCGGTTCGTACATGTCACCCCCAGCCTCGTGTCCCAACCTCATTCGCACAGCAACTTGCTGAAGCCGCGGTATGCCCATGACACCAATGCCAGGTTCTCCAAATGCCGGGCTGCCCGGCGCAGTTCCGGACGCAGAGCTTCTGCACTGCCCTCGCCCAGGCCAGGGCCAATGAGACACTGCTTCCGTTGTCGAGGGACTTCAGTATCAGATGCAAGCTCAATTTGGGTGGAGTCGGTTGAGGACTCTGTTCCCTCTTGCTTCCCACCCTTCTTGTGATAATCAGACGTCACCCGCCTTCAAAACTTAGATAATGGTCCAGTTTTGTGTGGTCGCGGCATTCCACTTGACACGACTTGGGTCCAGTCCAGCTCTTTTGAATATGCCGTGAGCCAGACAAATGCTGCTGCAGAAGACGGAGTGACAACACAACTCCAGCAATCCACAGCCGGCCCTCTTCCTCTGCAGTGGAGGAAGGCGGCCCCGAGATTCTGAGATTGTTCGGGAGGCTGGTGAACGAGAACGGCTATCAGGACTGGGACGGGCTCAAACGCGAGGCTGAACCCGAAACCCCAAGGCCCACGACGACCCAGACTTAACCTGAACTCAGCCCCCAAACCCTGAACATCAGGAGCTTCCCCGCAACATGCCCCTAGACCGAACCGAACCTAAAATCCCCAAGCAGGAGAGGCAACAACTCTTGTTAAAGATTGCTTATGAACACCCATAAACACTCCAAAATCCACAAACCCTAAACGTTAAACCCTAGGGCCCAGGAGAGGCTTAGAATCCTTGTCCTTCAACGCAAGAGCCCCAGGAGGCCGAACGCCCCGACTTGGGCCCGCATTTCGAGGCTTGTGATTTGTGTCTCGGATACTTTCGTAGAGCAAGCAGCTAAACGGATAGATGAATAGAGGAAGTAAATGAGCTGCCCATGATGCACAGAGTC